TTGGTAGCTGCAGGGAGTTGAGTGCTCATCTGATGATCAGTCTTCTTTTCTGAGTGTATCGGTAACTGGCTGTTGCTTGCTCAAACATATGGGGAGACGAGTTCTGGGAAGTTATGTAGCAAAAAGTGAGCTGAATAGATCCCTCGGCACCCTGCACCGAGTCGATCACAAGCTGAAGCTTCTTCAGCGAGTGAACCACTTTCTTGATCTTTCGAGAAGGCCATCGCGTTATACCGTGCTGCCTGCATATTCTTTTCAAGGTTGTCGGGCACACTACGACAACAAAACAAAGCAAGTGATGATAAAATTCTCTAGTGAGCTTTTTTTTTTTTTAATGTTTCGCTCCATGTTGATCTTCTTATCAGGGTCATTTGTGATCGAAGATCAATTTAAATTTCTTGATTTTTTTTAAGAAGAAACAAAAAAGAAGAGAAATGAATTGTCATATCATACCTCCAATTCAGGCTCCCAGCAAAATATTGTCTAAGCACTTCCAAGCTAATATTCTTTCCAGTTTTGTCCTTCTCTTTTCTCTGCACGCCTTAGCACCATGGCCACCAGAAAATGACATATTTCCACTACCTGAGAAATCTGAAATGTGATGGGACTTCGAATCCAATGTATTGTCATCTTCTTTGGAGAACGTTACTTCTTTTTTCTGTTCCTCATCACCATCATCTAAACATCTACCTGAAGCTTCTCGAACCAACTCCAAATCCATAACAACTCTCAAACTGTGGCAAGTCCTCTATATAACGATGGACAACGAGTCGAGCATCCGTCTCTGTTGGTCAGCGGCCTTGCAATTTATAGGCAAGAACCGCTCCAGCACAAAATCAGCGGTGCCAGTGAACGTGCTCCGGAGGCGTATAGCCACAACCGCACACAAATTAAATACGCGTGCATGATGAGCAAACGGATATTCCGTTTTGCTGAAAGCAGTGATGTCCTCGGAGAAACACGGCTGGTTTGTGAGGAAAGTTTTCCCGGTAATGCCTTCACCTCTGAGCAAGTGGTGCTCGAAGCAGGCGCTCGTGAAAGCCTTGCACTTGCTGGTCGGCCACGTAGCAGGCCGAGTCGATGGTCCACACACATTCGGTGTAGTTCTCGTCTGAATGCCGGCAACCACCTTTGCCTTGCTGAGCGCATGGGGCCCACGTCTGTGCAAGGGGCGATTTGTGTGCATCGCACACGCATTTTCGTACGTTCCTGATCTCCGATAAAGCAGTCTGGTAAGACTCGTCACAATACTGCATCTCAAACTCGAAGATGATTTTTTTTGTTTTTTGGGTACATTCATTGAACAAAAAAAAAAAAAGATGTCATCAAGTATTATTAATTTATTATTGTTGTTACCTCTATAGTGGGAGGCGTCAACGTACAAAAACTCTTCAAATCAACAGCCTGAGAAAGAAAGAGAAGAAATAATGCTTGTTCTGATTTTTACTAATAAACAAAAGCTAGAGTGAAAAAAATAAGGTGATATAGATATACACACACACCTCAAGAGCTCGGCAGATATTTTCAACTTCTGGTTGTCACAATTTCGACCACCCCCAAGCAATTACCACTGCCCCTTTCGAAAACGGGAAGCGCAAGAGAGCCCCTCACATCATAATGTCGGGCATGGCCCACACGAGGAAATTCCTCCCTCTTGAAAATCGAACATATGGGGTCCACTCGGGCAGCCTCTTCCAGAAAACACGTCCAGGCAGCCCAACAAACTCATTTGAATCTTTTTCAGCTGGCTGCAAACTGGTAATTCCGGGATATATCCCTGTACTCTGCCAGGTTCTTGCAGCTGGGGTCCACCAGCGAAAATGGATGGTTTATCGGTAGTGAGGACTTGCTTGCCTCCTCTCCTAACAGGAACCCATATCTGAATAAGAACATTCTTATTTGTCATGGAGACTTTGAGGTGGTCGATAGCCTGGACTAGCCTCTTCTTCACCGAGACAGTCGGGTTTCTGTTCGGGCCGACCCACAGCCTTGTGTTTTCTTCTTGCCCAAGAAAGCTGCTGTTTGTGGGCTGGTCCAGAGAAACGCAAGGGGCAGAGGTTTGATGGTTTTGTGCGGAAAAATCATCCATTTGTGGATAATAACTAAAACACGGCTGGTCGGGAATACTAATATTTGTATGGGATTGTTTGAATTGGGGTGCCAAAAGTTAGTTTCATCAGTTGTGGTCTCTAACCAGAAGCCGTCATACAAGAGTTGATCCATCAGACTGAAGTCGATGAGGGAACCATCTTCCATGATCATCTACTGTTGCAACCTAGGAATTTTCTGTCAATAATCCTCCATATATGTATGTAAATGCTGTAATATCATGAACGAAAACAGAGCAGCAGTCGAAATATGAAAACCAATAGGGGAAATTTCCAGGAAGGATGATCACTTTCAGTTGTCTTCCACCATTGCCTAATCTGCTCCACTGCTACAAACAAACATCCTCAGTTATGTCCAATTTTGTCTGCAACTGCAAATCACAGTTAATTATGTATCAACTGGGGGGGGGGGGNNGGGGAAATGGAGTACAAAAGTAACATTAATAATCAAAGACGTGCATATATATGGAATCGAAAGAAGCAGAAAAAAGTGCGGGGTAAAAGAGAAAGACGGCTCACTTTGACGAGATTCTATATGAAGCTGCCTTCAGGCGACCATTTTTGTATTCTTTATCAGCAACAGTTCATGAAAACAACACTTATTCTTTTTTCCCTGGGTCAGTCTATGAATCCCATCCACAAGAAAAACCAATATTCATGCTCATGAACAAAATTGGGAATTTTTCTTTTTTTCTTTTTTGGCGTAAAATGGATGGCAAGTTGCAATGAGAGATGACCAGATATCTTTTTTTTTTTTTTTTT